TGTTGTCCTTGTCCCTTCTCAAAAGCAGCCACTTCAGAATAGTGTACGTGCACTGAATTATCATATACCGACTGATCAACATTGAGCATGTCCGTGGCTTCAGCAGGATAAGTCGCCTCTGTAGGTTCCATTGTTGCTGCTAACCGTTCGGCAATATTCACCTCTACATCAACCTCGGGCACATCATATAATATCTGATTTTGTTCGTCGAATTCCTTTCCATCGCATTGATACAAGTCATCAGGCACTTGTAGTTCGGGCACCTCAAAAGTAGTCCCTTCAGTAGGTTCAACACTATTATTCATCACCATTGATTCCACAGCCTCATGTGATTCTTGAAAAGCCATCGTTGCAGAGTAGTGTTCCAAATGTATTTGAGACATATCAGCCACTTCAGAATATTCAATATGCGCTGTATAAGTCGGCATTGAAGGATCCAAATTGGGCATGCATGTGGCTTCAACAGAATGTTGCCCCCAAGTTGTATAAGTCGCCTCTGGTTCTACTGCTGCTAATGGCTCAACTGCTACATCAACCTCGGGTACACCATCTAATATCTGATTTAATTCGTCCAATTCCTTTCCATCCCATTGATACAAGTCCTCTGGCACTTCTAGTTCTGGCATCTCAAAAGTAGTCCCTTCAGCTGCTTCGTCAACACTATTATTCATCACCATTGATTCTTGAAAAGCCATCGTTTCAGAGTGTTCCAAATTCTTGCACATATTATAGTAATCCTTGCAATTCTTAGTAGCCAACAAGCCATCAACAGAACTCGTTACCTCATCAGTTCCATCGGAAATATTATTCAACGCCGTGATTGTGAAAGTTTCGGATGAACTATTAACGTGATTCAGGTTCTTGATAGCGCAGAGAACATAATCTCTACGCTCTTCGTCGAACTTGTGAAGAATAACCTTAGAAAGCTTGTACTCCTTCATCAGCCAATGTCCGTCTTTCTGATCTTCAGGGTAAAACTTTTTATTTTTGTAAGACAAACACGTCTTGGATCCAATATTAACCACTGAAGATGTGTTTCCCATATTTTTGTAGTGAACTGGTTTGTCCTTGGCGTCCTGTTTCCAAGTTCCCTTGTTTCCGACAGAACGATGATACCTTGCGTTGCTTTTCTTCTTCAGCTTTGTGATGAAATAGCGATAACTGGTGCTGTCCTCATCATCACCACAGGGTACTCCGTTGTCGTAAATCTCCCAAGGTTCTTGTTTGCCATAGACATCAACGTTAGTGGTAATAAAACCATAATCATGCATCTCTTGTCCAGCGACGAATCTCAACAAGAACATAAGTCCTTCTGAATCGGTGGGACGGAAACGGAAACCGTCCTCGAGCTTTAAGTGCTGATCCATGGAATAAACTCAACAAGAACGTAAGTAACTTGCTTGTTCAGAATAACAATGATTGAAACAGAACAAGGAAGAACAAGAATAGTATGAAAGAATGCAATAATTTGCATCTGAGAGGCAGGAAGGGAGAGTTTATGAGATTTTATAGGTTTTGTTTAGGAACTTAAGTGAGCAACAAGTAGGTTCCGTTGGTTAGTTATGTTTCTTCCACCCAAAGTAACAATATGGTAATTATTTTCATTTTTTACTAATAAATATGGAAAGTTTCCTAAGTATTCATGTGAATTTAACTAGGCACCAATTGAGTTTCTTTCGCTCAAAGTAACACTTTAAAAGACGGCTAATTTTTCTCTAAAAATAAAGGCTGTTCTTTTTGAAGAAAAACGAAGAAGAGAAGAAATCCTTTATTTTACAAACATATATGAAAACTTTTGACTTCAACGCAAATTAAAACACCAAATTGTGTTAATTCCAAAAGTAACTTAATATATCCATCTTACAAAACATTAGAGTTAGTCATTTTTGTGTTGAACGAAATTCAATATGGAGTTAATTATTTCTAGCTTAGTAAATATTAATTGAATTTTCTCATTGAATTTACTGTAAACTGGATGACTTTAAGAACATTTCTTCATGTGATTCGTTGTACTAATAAACTTTCTTTTTTTCCTTTCATTTCAGGAAACTACGTAGCTACTATTAATTTAAAAAAATTAGAGAAGAGTTGTGATGTAATACCGCATATTTAAGTTAGGGCCTATTAGTTATTTACTTAAATAAATAGAATTAAAAAAATGAAGATAAACAAATAAAACAAGACCAACAACAACAACAAAAAAAAAACAAGGGGATTAGGGCCAAAGCCCAGTACGAGAGTAAAAGAAGCAAAAGGCTTAGGCATTGAAGCAATAAAACTTCGGCAGAAACCATTCAAAGGCAAAAGAAAAAAAAAACCGAGTACCTATTTTTAGCAAATAGATTTGCAGATCAGAGGACAACAAGGTAAACTATATTTTCTCAATTCCTAACTTACTGATAGTTATTATTGGTGGGAAGGTATGAAGAAAGATATTGCTAACTTTGTTTCTAGTTGTTTGACTTGTCAGCAGGTCAAGGCTGAGCATCAGCGACCAACAAGACTACTACAACAAATTGAGATTCCAGAGTGAAAATAAAAAAGAATTATTATGAATTTTGTCACCGGTCTACCACGAACCCTTAGAGGTTATGACTATGTATGGGTGATCGTCAGATTGATTGACAAAATCAGCACACTTTTTGCCAGTGAAGACTACATATAGTGGAGTAAGATATGCACAAATATTTATGAACGAAATTGTCTGACTTCACGGAGTTCCAGTATCCATCATCTCTGATAGAGGATCACAATTTACTTCACGCTTTTGGAAATATTTTCAAGAAGCATTGGGTACATGAGTAGATCTTAATACTGCATTTCACCCATAGATAGACGGGCAATCAGAACGTACTATACAGATCTTAGAGGATATGTTGAGAGCTTGTATTCATGAGTTTGGAGGTAGTTGGGATGCTTATCTACCTTTAGCTGAATTTGCTTACAACAATAGCTTCCATTCCAGTATTCAAATAGCACCGTACGAAGCATTGTCATTCTCCTATCGAATGGTTTGAAGCTGGTGAGATTAACTTATTGGGACCCGACTTAGTACAAGAAGCTATTAACAAGGTCCAGTTGATCAGACAGAGATTACTCACAGATCAAAGTAGACAAAAGTCTTATGCAGATAAGAGAAGAAGAGATTTAATGTTCACAATTGGGGACAAGGTGTTCCTACGAGTCTCCCCTATGAAAGGTGCGATGCGGTTTAGGAAAAGAGGCAAATTGAGCCCCAGTTTATAGGACCGTATGAGATACTAGACCGAGTGGGAGCTGTGGCTTATCGTTTCGCACTTCCTCCTAAGTTATCTTTTATTCATCCAGTGTTTCATGTCTCTATGCTAAGAAAATGTATATCAGACTCATCTTAGGCGCTTGAAGTACCTACTATACCGCTTGATAAGAAGTTGTCTTACGAGGAGGGGTCGATGGCTATTGTTGATAGACAAGTAAGAAAGCTACAATCAAAAAAAATTGTGTTCGTGAAAGTCTTATGGAGAAATCATACTGTTAAAGAAGCTACACGAGAAACAGAAGAAGCTATGCGAGTCAAGAATCCTCATTTATTTCAGTCTACAGGTACGTACCTGAGCTAAATTCGGAAACCAAATTTCATAAGATAGAGAGAATGTAAAACCGCATATTTTAGTTTGGGCCTATTAGTTATTTACCTAAATAAATAGAATTAAAAAAATGAAGATAAACAAATAAAACAAGACCAACAACAACAACAACAACAAAAAAATAAGACAACGGGATTAGGGCCAAAGCCCAGTACGAGAGTAAAAGAAGCAAAAGGCTTAGGCCTTGAAGCAATAAAGCTTCGGCAGAAGCCATTCAAAGGCAAAAGAAAAAAAAACCGAGTACCTATTTTCAGCGAAGAGATTTGCAGATCAGAGAACAACAAGGTAAACTATATTTTCTCAATTCCTAACTTACTGGTAGTTATTATTCCACTAACCAAGGGATAGGAACAACACTAACAACTTAAGGTGTTCTTATATAGCAAAATAATGAATTTTCTATTAGATTGAATAAAGATTCTTTTAATTTATACCAAGAACTCGTGTACAGATTAGGAGTATTTGGTACAAGTACTAACTGACGAGAAGAATATAGTTTTTGTGCAATCAAAATAAAATTCTTCTTTTCTTATACGAATAGTTGTATTAATCTGAAGGAATGAAAGCAGGGTAGTTCACTAAATTTGAAGGATTGGACTAATTATGTTGGTAACTCACAAAGTAAATACATAGATTGATTTTGTTACAAGTAGGTAGTTGAAGAAGTTGAATGAAGTGCTCGAGGTGACGCGTTTGGTATTCATGCACAAGTAATGCGAGTAGTAATTTTACCGCAATTTGTGTTTTCATAACCTGCATGGTTTATACATGATTTTTGAAAATATTACATGTTACCGAAAATTTGAAACTGCATGTAGGACAAGTCCTTTACTTGATATGGTACTGAATAGTTTACTGGAGATGTTTACAGTTATTTAAAATATTCTCACTATTACTATACATGTTTTACTATTACTTGAGATATGATAACCATTACCATAATGGAATTACATGATTTGATAAGAATTGAAATGCCCTATACTATTTTGAAAATGCATTCATATGAATATGTACTGTTTACAAAGAAAAGTATGAATGGGAGGAGACTTTGAAGGATCCCGTAGCTAACGACGGGTTCGTTAGACCTGGTGCACCTTGTATTTACTGATTACCTAGTACAATTATAGCCCTCGCTAGTGGGAAGGTAGAACTAGCATACAGTTACAGTTTTCCCTCGAGTAGGGACCTACAGTTATATTTAACTCCTTTTACGAAGGGGTCCACACAGTGATACAGATTACATGATCCTTTCCTGGAAACCTCCCAAATATAAAGATTTGCTATGATACAGTATTTACCGAATTTATTACTGAATTGTTAAATTGATTTTGTTACAGGAAACACATGATGAGACTGATTATTATTACCATTTTAAAAAGGGCATTTTATTTTTATGATTATTATACAAGCATGTTTTCTGACTTGTCCCCAATTAAAAACAGTTGTGGTTAAGTGTTATTACTCACTGAGTTAGAGACTCACTCCCCGCTATTTTTTTTTACAGAGACAGCAGTTGACATGAGCGAGAATTTTGTTAATTAGAGTACACGATTTGATAGTTCCTGGTGAGCCCCGCACTTGTTCGCGTGGGCAAAGAGTATTTATTTGTTATCGTCTTTTCTTATGAACTCTTAGAGTCGCTCCATAGTCATTTTTATTAGTGTCATGAGCATTCGTTCGTTATATTGTACTAGTCACTAGTATTGTATTTCTTTCCGTATTTTTGAGATGAGTTTAGTATTATTATGTTGATAAGGTTGGTAATGCTACTGAAGACCCGTTTTTGGTTAGTTGGTGAAGATTGCGATTGATTTAGGTGAATATGGGTTGGTTGTTATTTATTTATGAGACAGGAAAACTTTTGGATAGTCTTAAATTAGGAAAAACTCTGTCCGATTTTCTGTAAAATACAGATGAGGCTTACTTGGGGGCACTTGCTCCCAAGCGCCGGTCGTGATCCTAAATTTGGGTCGTGACATGTGACTCCGTTTGACTCGTAATAATTTCATATATTATCTTCTATGACAAAAGGAAATTATGGCTAATTTGGCCTAACTTTTCACCACTTAAATGTATTTTATAGTAAAAGGAGTGATGTTAAAGTCGTTATGCGCTAGTTAAATTCTTTTGGAATGTTGAGGAAAACTTAGGAAATACTAGTAAAGAAAATTCCACTTGTCGGTCTTACTGCGTAGGAGTAATAAGCACTTATATCCAATAAAAAGTAGTATCATTTAGAAAGAAAATAAAAAAAAAGGGAAAATGCATAAGTACCCCTGAACTATGATCATATTTTCAACTACACACATTTAGAGTAGAATTATTTCCACCCTAAAGGCTTATGTGGATGTGTGTGTATTTCACTCGCTCAAAGAGAGTCAGGAGAGATTTTTTTAATTAAATATATACTTTCTTACTTTTTTGTGTCTCTTTCTACAATATTCCTTGCTTCTCTTCTTTACATCAGGTTCGTTCGAACACACCATACGCCGACGACATCTAGGCAAAAACATTTATCATCGGAAAAAATTTTCGCGCCGGAAAAAATGAAGTCCTCAAAATTCCGACGACCGCTTATATTCTTTTTTTTTTGTTTTTTTTTTAATTTATTTTTCTCTTCCTCCCACACATAAATCACTTTCAAGAAAAATTTATACATATATTAAGCAAAACACACTCAAATCTAGACCAAAATCATTTGTCATAGGAAAATATTTTCGCGTCAGAAAAAATGGAGTCCT